AAAACAAGTGTAAAAATTTCAGTTTTAAAACAACCAAAACATTTATTTATCATTTACTAAAACACTTAAAGGGTTTTCACATTAAAACAGTTATCAGAGTACAATACCAAAATCTCGAGTTGCAGAAAATATGGGTGTATGCGCTACGATCAAGCCGGGCCCTTCCATTTCGAACCGGAAGTACCTGAAACCATAAACAACAACTGTAAGCACAAAGCTTAGTGAGTTCCCCAAAATACCACATACCAAACATAACATACAAGCCATACATCTCATATATATCAAACATGCGATAGGAGGTGCTATGTGCCAACCATAGTCTTGTCATTATACCACAAACTGTATCATGGTATTTCCTTGCCAGGCCAGGGGCCAAAACCCTGGGTCTTACAGATAAGTGTCAGGAAGCACCTCCTGGTCTTCCATGCAAGCATCACAAAGACAACTAGCATAAAATCTACAACTACTTATCTACTTAACTGCTAGAGTCCATACTCTGGTCTTGCATACAAAATTGCCAAGAGCCACCTTCGGGTATTTCATACAAATGCTAAGGGCCACCCCTGGTCATTCTACAATACATAAACCAATAGGGCTGACATTGGTGCCTTCGACCCATATAATAGTGAGGAGACTCACCTCGCACTGCTGAATCACATTGATAATCCCTGAAAGCTGGACCGCCAATCCTCCGAACTATCAATATCAAATAACACCCTATTAACACTTGTAATTGAATTTATATCCTTCAATCCATACTTAGGGTAAATAGACCCTTTTACCCCTTATCTATCTTGGCCCAAGACTGAGGCCCAAACGTGGCCCAAAATATCCCATGGTCAAACCTGATCAAACTTCTAGTGAAAGTCAAAGTCAACAACCCATGTTGACCAAACACGTCGTGTTGCCCCTTGGACACGCTGTGTTCCGCCAGCATCCAGACGGTCGGCAAAAATCCCGGTCACACGCTGTGTTGCTCATTGAACACGCCGTGTTCGTCTGAGACCCAACAGCTTAACTCATTAAGTTGTTTTCTCCAAAAACAAGAGCTCCAAAGCTTAGATCTAGACCCTCATGTGGTCCAGAAGGATAAAGTTTCCAACTTTATCCATTGGGACTACCCAAAAAGGTTCAAAACTCAATCCATAAAGCTTAATAATGCAAGGGCTTAACCAATAAGCACTTAATCCATAAAGACATAGCCCCAAAACATAGATCTGACTTCCTTGAGCTGGAAAACCACGTAAAGTTGCCAACTTTACGTTCATGCATGTCTAAATGAAACTCTTAAGCTTAAAAGGGACTTAGTAAGTGACTTAATGCATGCTTGTAACCAATTATCTCATAAAGCTTGCACCTTTATGCTCAAGGAGTCCAACACAAACTCAGGTCTGGAATAACAAGCCCTTAAACGACTTCACTCTCTCATCAACCCAAAAATGGACCAAAAGCACAACAAAGCACAATATGAAGAGATCTAAACATCTATAAGACAAGATGCAAACTTGATACCCCAAAAAGCTTTCCCACAAGATGATGATTCTGGATCCAAAGCCTTTTCACCAAGAAAAGCAACTTCAAGATCCCCTCTTCCTTCAGAAAGACCAAAAATGAGCATCAAGAACTTCTTACTAGCTCAAGAACACCACCAAGAGACTTAAATATCGATTTTAGGGTTTTAGTGACAATGGAGGATGGTAAGGAGGCCAACCATGAGGACTTAAGGTATTAATATAGGGTGCAACACCCTAAAAATTAGGGTTTTCTCCACCAACCGCCAACACACCGCGTAATGGCATAACACGTCGTGTTGGCCTTAATGAAAGTCGCGTTTCTTCAAATCTAGACACGTTGTGTCGGTTCCTCCAAGACGCCGTGTCCAACCCTAGAAATGGGATTTATTCCCAACAATTATTCATCAAGATTTCGGGTGTTACAAAAGTTGTTCCCTACCACTTTCTTTTTGGAGTCGATATGAGATTCCTTTCTGCCACCATAAAAGCTATGTCTTCTATTGTCCAACACTATAAGATAAGTCCTAATTTTTTTTCTATATAAATTATAAACGCATTTAAAAAATTAGTTGGGTTGTGGGACCCACCTTCCTTCTACTTGGATACGTCCATCGCTTACATTGTAATAAAATTTTGAGAAATAGGACAAAAAATAGTTGTGAGAAAACCACACCCATCTTGAGCCCGTACATGTACCATCGGGTGTAATTGATGCTTCATAAATACATTGAATCTATTCTTTTGTGTGTTCATATGAATTATTGTATGCCACACCTTTTTGCAAATGGAGATTAGAATCTTTGATAGTTTGTTCACATGGGTGGTTCTTGGTTGATTCCAATCTTTTGGTAAATTTGAAATTTGAAGTGAGATAGAAAGAGAGGGGAATAACTAAATGCTATATACAATTTATTTGGAGATAGAATTTGTTCTATTTTATGGTAAAACACAAAGTAGTACTACAGTCATAAATCTATATACAAATCTTATGAACTCTTGTATCTCATGCCACCAAAGCTAGGAAAAAGCCCAATTTTCTTTCTCTTGGACCACATACCTAAAAGAAACTTGAAAATATGCAACCATAGTGCATTATTTGTGAATGCAATTATTGTGGGTAGTTATAAAGCAAAGAGTAAATAACATTCGTCTTCAAACTCTGATTTTTATTTTATTTTTGGTTCAGAATTTTTCTCCATTAGGCTTGAACTTGCTTCCTATAACATTTAACATGTTTTTTTTTATGCGGCTACATTTAAATACTAGATTCATATCTTGCAGAACAAGTTGTTTTTAATGAAGTTTTGACTTGCATGTCAAGTTTGGTAAAATTTCATGGTTTACTTGGACCACATAAATTGCAAGTAGATAAAATTCCACTTACACGTGGACGGATGAAAATGGATGACAAAACAAAGGTAGGAATAAGATTCCAAACGCAACTTTTTTATTCAAATTGATCATGTATATTCAATCATTTTCTTCTTTTTCTTGTAAGTTAATTATCGATTTTGTTTAGAAAAATAAATTAAAGTTAATTATCGATTTTGTTTAGAAAAATAAATTAATTTATTTTAATTTGATGTATGTTAAATTATAAAAATCAATTATTATAGCTTATAAATATTTTTAAATTGAAATAGCTTTTAAGAAACTTATGATTTTCTTTTTTATATATTCTAAATATAC